ACCCCCCTGAGCAGAAACAGCACATCCTAACATGCCGTTTCTGTTCGTATTATCTCTCTTTCGTAGCAGGTGGCTCTACTTGCCACCTGCATCATGTATTTTTTTTTTTACAATTTAATACAATTTTTTTTCCAATTTTTTGCATGTACATTAAGAATCCCAGCTAAAAATAGATGACGTGGTAAAAATACCGAGCGTCATCCAAAGCGCCCTGTCCCAATCCAGCCCTTCCCGCCCCCCGACAATGGGGGAAACGGTGCACAATGACAAGGAAATATGTTTCCTCATCGTTGGCGCTTTTTCCCCATCAAAAACAGCAGCGGGAACATCGAAAACGACGAGGAACAATGCTTGGGCATTGTTTCCTGTGTTATTTGCGCATGTTGACAGGTCCTGCCCACAGCATTGGGCTTCGGCACACCTGGCAGGGCCTCTCTGTGGGTGGACTGTTTAATCACAGTCCTGACATGTGAGGATACACTGTTTAAATACAGTGTTTGATATAGATTTCTAGCGTACATGGCTGCTGTGAACACACGAGCAAGCGCTGCGAAGAGCGCAGAAATGACCTAGCCGTGAGTCCCTTCCAGGAATCAGAACCAGAGCCTGCCAATTCTCCATGCCAGGCTGTTGTCGATGCTCCTCCCACAGCTGGAGCCGAGAGGCAGGACACGAAATGTGCAAACAATAGGGAGAAAATGAGAACGGAGAAGCGAGGCAGAAGCACGGGGCAGACCAAGAACAGCACTCACGGTTGATGTCTGCCTTACATGTATAAGTGATCTGGCACCACCGTCCTCGGTCCAATGGGCATGATTTACTACTGGAACTGCAGAACTGGCAATCTCACCTCTGCTGTGATGAACCACCTCACTGGTTCGGAGCAGGGGAATCCCTGGAGACTGGAGAACAAGAACACTGAGGTGGATGACGCCTGAGAGTCGTCAGTTCTGGGCAGAGATAGCACATATTCCGGGGTGTGCGTGGCTGGCCTGTGGTGTTCCTCCAAATGCCTGGTATTCGCCGTACGTTCCTGGATGGCACCAGCCATACTGGCCAAGGTGGTAAATGAAAGAAAACTCATAGCATTTGGCAGATTGGAAGCCATCGTAGCAAGAATATTTGACTGAAGTTGTACACGAAAGGCTATCAGGAGTGATATAGACCTATTGAGAAATAATAAGATATAGCCCTGGTCAACATAAATAAAGCCTACCCGTGAACGAGGTACTGGGAGGCGTCGACGCTAGTGAACGTGTTTGAGGAAGGAGGAAGCAGCAAATGTGGACTGTTGCTGGCACTTGCCGAGACACAATGACTAAGCATTCTCACACCCTGGTCCAGACATTTCCAACCGCCACCCAAGCCTACTTCAAACCATTGCAGAACAAGTCTCAAAGAAAAATCAGGAAGAAGCACGATGGTAACAGCAAGATAGAAGCTTCTGTTTGCGAATGAATGCAGAAATGTCAAAGTGGAACAAAGGCTCTGGAAAATATTCCGTACCAGCACTGATGGCAGGAGGTTTGTGGGTCCATAGACAATGGCTGTCATTGACACGGAATATACATAATACAACACCTTCACTGGTCAGACTCTTGAACAATTATATACGCCATAATGGAATACAAGGATGTCGCTAGGACTTTGTATATAAATTCGCTAGTTCTCCCCCCTGAACTGACAAACCCACAACACCCCCAATAACCCACTTGACAGCCACAAAAACTCGGCATGAATCCACAGTGTACAGTGAATATAGTCTATATTCCTGCGGTATTCTGAATTATGGATCCACCTCACCCTGGCGCTTGCCCTGTGCATGGGCCACCTCCCCCATCGAGCCTCGATGGCGCAATGACAAGGTTAGTGGATCCCCCTCAGCACGCTTTGAATATTGAATCGTCATCCGCCTGCTTTCCTTTGCAGCCAGCCACCCTCCCTACCTACACGAGCAGAAGAAAAGCTCAATGTAGAGTCAAAAGGCCCAGACCCAGAAGGACATCAATTCGTCCTATTCATGGTTCTGGTGCCATTGGTTTTAGCATCATTTGCTTGGCAAAGGTGCAATGCTAGACAAGGAGGAACCTCCAACACGAGAAAGGTGACGAAGAAGGGCAAAGAAAACATTCAGATGAAGAAACATTCGAGGCAAAAGGAAAAGAGTGAAAAATAGAAAGTACTAGAAGATCAAACCTTTATTCTGTCAAGAGAATTAGAAACTTGAGTCGTCAGGCTAGCCTCATCTTGGAAACTGGGCTACGCATTTTGAAAGCTTGTTTTCCCATTCATCGCATGTAGATAAGATTTTCCATTACTGTCTGTGAGTCATTTCTTCCCTTAATGATGTGCAATAGGATCATACCCTCCCCCAATTGTAACTCCCAGATTTTAAACCCCTTGGGCATTCCTGAAGGAGCAGATACTATAGATGTTGACAGAAGTCCTTCTTTCTCACTTATTTCCATCCCCAGCCTTTTCCACGTTCATGCCAAACGTAACTGGGGAAATCTCTGTCAATAGTTCATATACCCACTCACGATGTCTGCAGTGCACATCAAGGATGACATCACAAGATGCTCGTCATTTGAGAAGGTAGGCCGATGACACGTCCAACCCACCTTCCAAATACGGCTTGCACTGGGAAAAGCCACTTTACCCACCAATGCTGATGAAGAGGTAACAGCACACCCTCCAATTTCGCCAAATCCATGCCATCAGCCCCCATTTCAGACATGGCCTGTCTGCGGCCACCCACGACAACCCTGACACTCACACTAAAGACACGAATCAAAGGATCTCGGAGGAGAGCACCCCTGATCATGGAACCCACCACCATCGACCCCACATCCAGACTTACGCCATGACAGATTCGCCGGACACACCAGACACAACACACCCATTGAGCTCGCAGGAGCTCGAGGTGGGGCTCATCTACGCTGTGCTCACCTACCAGGGTGAGCTTGCCTCCTGGAACTGGGCCTTCTTCATCCTGAACCCCAGCGTTGAGCCGATTGGCACCGCCAGGACCATGTTCCACGTTGTCAAGACAGACTCAGCAGGCATGTGGCGCTTTGAGGTCGAGTTGCGTGTAGTGTTGCCACGGCTTCGGCCTGGAACCGACTTAGAGCTGGAGCCGGCACTGGTTATTAGTCGAGCCATGCCTCGGTTCAGCTTAGGAAGCTGCAGCTTTCCAATTGCGGTTAAAGTTGCGGCTTCGGTTAGTAGCCAGTGCCAAGTCGACTAACTGATTGCTAGATACCGGTAGAGCGGTAGCATGCAAAAAGGGCAGTGTTCTGTATACACTAGATTATTATGGTACATAATTTCATTAGTATGGCAATTATTTAATGTAATACTAATGAAATATAACAAAATACATTATCCACGAGCTAGTTTGCGCATATCATCCCATAGAGAGGTCATTAGAGAACTATTCAGCTTCTTCTCCTCCTTGGATTCTGAGCCTACACAAAGAAAGTCCGTTGTAAGTTCCAGTCGTTTGTCCAAAAGTGTGTCCGCTGTGCCGGGTGACCTCCTCACAACAGCCAAGTTCATGAGCACCTGTCCATCGTGGTGCCTATGGTGGATTCGTCAAACATACTTGCTGCAGTGTTCACCTTTGATGACGACAAGAAGTCCATTATCACATGTCACATTCAGATGTTTCAGTGAGACCCACTCTGGAGGAAGGCCAGTCAACTTGTTATATACAACATGGCAGATGCTGACCTGTCCGTCGACCTCATTGATGGTGACAGAAAGCTCCTTCTCGCTGTAGCTACCACTGTTTACAATAACCTTTAGGGTTGTGCCAACCAGGCGTGGGTCCAAAAGCAAATGATGAGGCAATTCTTGTAGCAGCAGGGCGGTACTGCTGGTGGTGGCGACAGGTGACATGGGGGAAGAAATCAGTGTTCATGATGAAGGATCCCAGGCAGGTGTTGATGAAATGGGTTGTGAAGACGGACTCCAGCCAGGTGTTGTGGGTGCAGGAGTCCGAGTTGGCCCACCAGAGGTTGACGCCTGCGACAGTGCAGGCCGTGGCTTGTAATCATTTGGCTTGAAGAGCATGCTTGTGGGTTTGGCGTAGTTGAACAGCTGTAGCGGTGCTGAAAAGGATGATCAGTGTGATGCACCTCTAAATAAAATTTATACCTACATTGTTTCAATGACATTGCCATAGTCGACAACGATGAGTGGGAAAGGCTTTGAGGGATCCAGGTAGGTGAGTTGCATCTTGATTCTCAGCCCGCTATCCGTCGGTTGGCCGCGGAGAACATTTTTGATGACGCCAGAACGTCCCTTGTAAGGATGACCAATTCTGAATATAGTGACAGAGGTGCCGATCCATGGCACTTGGTCTTTGAAAAGTGGGAGGACTTGGCTGGGTGCGCGTGATGCATAGAGGAATGGGGCAGTGGTAACTTTCAGCCAATTCCAATGGACTTCGAATTCCTACAGAAGTAGTTAATAAATGAAGGCAAGATTGAACTGTGCTGCCTGCACATACCTTGAGGGAACTGCTGAGATCGGTGTCTGTGTTGTGGTCGTCAACATGCTTCTCTATGACATGGATGACATCTTCATCAACCTTGTCGACCCACCCTGTTGTGCCATGGAGTCGTCCACTTGTAATGGTAATGAAATCCCCGATGCGAACATCCTTCTGGATATCACTCCAGGGAAAAATTTCTTTACCGTTTTCTGCTCCGAGATCGACTTCCAAGTTGTTAGTTCCGATGACAGCCACTACGCCGCTTTTGCCTGAAGAACAGATGATAACACGTTCGCCTTGTTCGAAGATCCATTCTCGAGGGCGAGGAAATCTGGATGTGTGAAGGCTGGGGTGGTCGCTGGCTTTGAACAGAAGGAAGAAGTAAGATGGCATGTCGACAGCAGTAGAGGCGAGCGAGTGAAAGTCGTAATGTTTCTGTAGGAGTCTGTGTTTGAAATGAAGTCCATGGAAGGTGTACAATCCGTCAGATTTTTGGATGGGATTGATATCGTAGAGATACTTGATGACATTGGGTTCAAATAAAGCTGGTTTGGGGGGAACAACAGATCGTTTTCGCTTCAATGAAGGCTCCATAATGAGTACCGCCAGATGGGGAACCAGGAGCACTTCTACTCCCCAACTTTCTACTTTAACAACGAGGCCAATGTCGCCTCTGTAGATTCCCTTACGGACTTGGACCCACTGGTTCACTTCCACGGAAGTGTCAGGGTTCGTCATTGTCAACATTCGCAGCCAATCTGAGGGTTCGATTCCATGCCATACAATGCCCTGTTTGGTGCGAATGATTCCAGGTGTCTGCTCAAGGAGGTGGATGAGATTTGGATTCATGAGGGCCTCCAGGTAGACCCAACCTCGCAGCGACCCACGTGTGAACGCAGAACAGATTTGATGCTCTTCCCTCGCCTTCAGCAGGAGCGAAAACACGGCTTCCTCCTCGAGACCCAGCTGAGGAAATCATAAGAATACTCCTTGAATTACGAAGGACGACCTTACCCTGCAGCCAACACGCCAAAGCGGATAGTCTTCAGCGCTTGGTAATCTGCCTGCAATGTAGGCAAGGTCATCACTGGATTCGACGTGAGTTGGTGCAGTTGCCGCGTAGGACCGTGATCGTGCCATGATTCCAGCCAGGACATCGTCGATTTCGTCTCGTTTTGAAGGTCGTTCCATAATGGATGTGGTTCAGTTGGCTCACACACAGTTGGCTCCTCGTCATCAATGAAGTCGTCTAGTGAGATGCAAATGTAAATTAGATTATATCAACAGGAAAAAAGTTAGACACGCACTGTGGAGGCCATCCTCCTCATTGTCGCTGTCAAAATCCTCCCTGTCCACCTCCGCCTCGATATCAAAGAACTGTCACAGCTGTTTGGGAACCTGGAATAACAATGGTGAGCAGGAGGCACAGCTAAGAAACCCGACACGAACATATGTTTTTCATGATATCTGTGGACTGTTCTCTGAAACCTGATATCGGGTAGTGGTCAGTATGTTATCATTCACTTGTTATGCCTTCAACGACCCCGAACATGTTGCCCAGAGCCCAAATGATGCCTGGTACACAGGGCAGCACCCTCATCTTGGCCATTCATTTGTCTCGGCCATTCATTTGTCTGGCACTTGTGCCAGTCATTCATCCGTACAGAGTTTATTTGATTTGTAGTTATACGACTATCTACTAACTAAGGAGGGAGGAAGGGACTTACGAGGTGGGTGGACTGATGAACGGACGCCAACAACAACGATGGTGGTGGTCTTGTGGAAAGAGTGAAAGCATGTTGATGTGGCATGGGATGTTCCAGCGTCAGCTAAGTGGGCCAGTTTGTGGACCGGTTTAGCCAACGCTGGAACATCCTGTGCCACATCAACCAGCCCCCAGCTGCTTTCACACACTTTCACTCTTGCTCCCGTACCACCACCATCCCTTACATTCGACCATAATGTAGTTATTAATTACATTTAGTAGTACTATACCTCAATTGTAAATAGTAGAACTATGAAAGACTCACATAGAACGGTGTGGACAGAGAACAAAAAGGCTGCAGAGGATAATGAAACACGGATGAGCGTGTGTAAAGGATGAGGAGCAATTGTACAGTGTGTATAAGGCTTGAGGAGGGAGGCTTGAGGAGGGAAGGCACAAGGATGGAAGGCATGAGGATGGAAGGCACAAGGATGGCAGGCTCGAGGAGGGAGGGAGGCGGGAGGATGGAAGGCTCGAGGAGGGAGGCAGGCACTTCTATAAGCCAGGTAAATATATCAAACACTGTATTTAACCAGGGTATGCTCACATGTCAGGACTGTCATTAAACAGTCCACCCATGGAGAGGCCGTTGCCGTGCCTGCCGGGGCTCAGTGCTGTGGGCGGGGCCTGTCAATACAACCAAACAACGCAGGAAACAATGCCCGAGCATTGTTTCCTCGTCGTTTGGGGCGCTCCCGCCACCGTTTTCGACGGGGAAAAGGCGCCAACGATGAGGAAACATATTTCCTCATAATTGTGCACCATTTCCCCCATCGTCGGGAGGCGGGATTGGGTGGAGCACATTTGGATGACACGGCCTTTTTGCGGGCCCTGGACCTATTTTTAGATAATGCTGTAATTACAATGACACATCTCTTGTAATGCTCTCGCCGTCGTCTGCCACGACGTCCGGTGAGCTCAGGGTACACCAAAAAATTAGCAAAAAAAATCGTATTAAATCATAATAAAATATACACATGATGCTCCTACTTGTAAGATACACAGAAAAAGGACATGCCATCGTGGCATGTCATTTCTAGCTCCCGCCACCGTTGTGCTCACCGCCGTTTTCGTGTTATGGCACACCAGAGATTTTATCAAGAAAAATCATATTAAATTGGAATAAAATAAATACATAGCGCAGGTGGCTCTAATAGCCACCTGCTGTGAGATAGAAAGAAAACGAGCAGAAACAGCGCATCTTGTGGGCCACCCTCTGCCCCTCCGCTGCCCTCTGCCCCTCCTCTGCTCATCATTGGGGGTCGTTCAGCTCCCCTCTGCTCGTTGGGGGGTCGTTCGCCCCTTATCCCCTCCTCTGCCCATTGGGGCATCCTCCATCCTCTGCTCGTCGTTGGGGGCCTTTCACCCCTCCACAGCTCGTTGGGGGGGTGTTGGCCCTCTTCCCCCCTCCTCTGCCCGTCGCTGGGTTGCCTCTGGCCCCCTCTGCCGTCTGTTCGGCCCTCCACCCCTTGTTGGGTTTGTTCGCGAGGCAGAGGGCGATGGCGGAGATGATGGGGTGATGGCGGAGGCCAGGGGGCGATCTTGAAGGCGAAGGACGAGAGGGCAAAACAGCGACCGCGAGAGGGTGAGAGCGCGAGAGGGCGAGAGAGGCGAAACGGCGACAGCGAGAGGGTGAGAGCGCGAGAGGGCGAGAGAGGCAAGAGGGCAAGAGAGGCAAGAGGGCAAGAGAGGCAAGAGGGCAAGAGAGGCAAGAGGGCGAGGTGGCGAAATGGGGAGGTGGGCAAGGGCGAGAGGGGCGAGGTGGGCGAAAGGGCGAAAGGGCAGAGGGCGAGGGCGAGGGCGAGGGCGAGAGAGGCGAGAGAGGCGAGAGGCGAATGGTGACGGGCGGGCGAGGGCGAAGGTGAGAGGGCGAAGGGCAAGGGCGAAAGGGTGAACGGCGAACGGCGAACGGTGAGGGGCGAGAGCGAACGGCGAGAGAAAGGATGGCGTGAATCATCGTCGTCGTCGTCGTCGTTGCTCCGTCATCGTCGTTGCCCATCATCGGTTGCCCATTCTCGCCCTCGTTGCCCATCCTTTCTCCGTCGTGTCCCTGCTCTGCTCCTGCCCTGCCGCTGCCGTCCGGGCGAAGGTGCAAGGTGCAAGGGGGCGAGGGGTGGGGCAAAGGCACGAGGGGTCGAAGGGTTGGGCATGGGATGGTGCCAGCCCATGTCCCTACAGAGAGGGGAGGGGCACGCAGTGCAGGCAGGTCCTGTGAGGCTAAAAGTAACATAGTAAGTGCACAAGAATAGAAGAAAAATGTTGATGTACCTTCTTTTTGCATTCGGGGCTGTCTCATAGGGTGAGTGGAGGGCAAGACCAGGATCAACGATGTCATGCATCGTTGATCGCGGTTCGGCGAGTTCCGGCTACACGTCCCATTGGCTGGGACCTGCGGCCCGATCCACCTCCGTTCCGTTGGTCGACAACGGAACCTCTCTGATTCCTGCAGAATGTAATTTCACGCTATTGAAACCTTCGGAAACTGTTATTAGTATGTCAATTCACATATAAGTATAATTTTAATGAGATCTAACAAAACTGAAATATTTTACGAGTGAAATCATCTCAGACTCAGGCCAATTCTGGGACTCTCACCTCTATATGTAGATTCCAAGACAGAAAAGAAACCAAATAAATATATTAAAATTGTTATGATAGTATTGAAGAATAGAGCTCCCCTGATGGATTTATTACCTTTAGGATGTAAACTAAGAAATCATGAACCATGATGTGGATTCCGAAGCAAAAACCAACTCAAGATGTGTCAAATTTCAGACACTGGCTTGTATTGTAAGATCCACATAGGAAATACAGCCTAAACTTTTGGTATACTGTACCTACTCCTTCAATGATTTAAAATGCAAAGTTTTTTTGATTGTTCAGCTTGTCGAACGAGTGGTATTCGGCCTGTTCGAATGTCAGGAGAACGTAAATCACCACGCAGAACGGGTAATTCGGGCTCTTGGCTTGCTCTTACTCTCAGATAATATTCAGACATCTATGCATAGATAGAATACAGTAGTTTAATTAACTACTGATGCTCATTTACGCAATTTTTATCATATTTCGAGCAAATGGGCGATTCCGAGGTCGATGAGCAGAACGCGGGCTGACCGGACCGCCTGGGCCAGCCAATCACATCGTTTGCGGCATATGCCAGATAAGCCCTCAACGACGACAAGAGTTGTTGATCCTCATCTTCAACCACCACCTGGCCTCTCCCCTCATCCTCCCTCACTTCAAATAACCCCCCAGGGCATCAAAAAAGGTGAGCACTATGTTTATCTTTACAACCATATACTGTAACATACATTTTTGTACAAATTAGGTGAACGAGCATCAACTTTAAGTTGATGCTCGTTGTCTTCGCTTCTCGCGCCCCTCCTGCCATAGGGATGTGGGCAAGACAGGATTTGCCCCTCGGCCACCTCATCCCACCCCCATTCGCTGTCCTCTCCCCCGCTCTTACACCATCACCCCGTGCCACCACCACCCACCACCACCCCTCCCCTTCAACAGGGATGTGGGTTGCCTTTTTCTGGCCCATCGACGCTCACCACCACTCGCTCGACTGGGAGAGAGCACCACAACGGGAGTGATCGATGGAGAATCACAACGACAGGGTGAAAACGATGGGGCGGATGATGATGGGGACAAGGCGAGCACAACGACGACGGGGCGAAGACGACAGGGCTGACGATGATGGGGACAGGGCGAGCACGAAGACAACAGGGCGAGCACGAAGACAACAGGGCGAGCACGAAGACAACAGGGTGAGCATGACGCTGACGACGACAACGGCGGGGCATGACGGCGAGGGCACCCTTCACCTCCGCCCTCGCCCCTTGTTCACTCCTTCCATCCTCTGCCTCACCCTCTCGCCCTCTGCCCCGCCTCCTCGCCCCTCGTCTGCCCCTCGTCTGCCCTCGCCCTCTGCCCTGCCCTTTCGCCCTTTGCCCCACCCCTTGACCTTTGCCTCCACCCCTCGCCCTTTGCCTGCCCCTCGCCTTTGCCCTCGCCCTCTGCCCCCGCGCCCTGCCTCCTGCTCAGCACCCACTACCAGCAGCTCAAGCAGAAGGGAGAGCATGAGGAGGGGAGAGCACGAGCACCCGAAGAGGATCAACAGGCAATGAACGAGCCAACGGGCAATGAACGGGCCAACGAGTGACCACCGAGCCCAGCGACCGACGATCAAACCCAGCGAACGACGACCAAACCCAGCGAACGACGACCAAACCCAGCGAACGACGACCAAACCCAGCGAACGACGACCAAACCCAGCGAACGACGACCAAACCCAGCGAACGACGACCAAACCCAACGACCGACAACTGAGCTCCCCGAGCTACGACCGAACCCAACGATCGACAACAACGGACGAACAGTCCCAACGAGCAGAGGAGGGGGTGGAGGAGGGGCAGAGGGAGTGGAGGAGGGTCCCATGAGAGGTGAATGGAGAGTACGGAGGGCGCGGAGGGCGCGGAGGGGGACCACCTGTCCCCTGAGCAGAAACGGTGCACTGAGGCGCCGTTTCTGCTCGTTTGATCTGTATTTCATGGCAGGTGGCTCTACTTAGCCACCTGCAGCATGTATTATTTTATTACAATATAATATGATTTTTTTTGTAATTTTTTTGCTGCGAAAGGGCAGGGACCAGGACCACAGCGGAAACGACACGTCGCGACACGTCGTTTTTGCCTTATCTCGTAGTGGGTGGCTGGTAGAGCCACCTGCGTTGTGCATATATTTTCTTACAATTTAGTACGATTTTTTTCTGCTAATTTTTCGTGTGTTGCAAGATACCCCGAGCTCGCCGGATGTCGTGACAGACGACAGCGAGAACATTACAACGGATGTGTCAAGGTAATTACATTATTATCTAAAAATAGCTACAGTAATTCACTGGCTTCTTGTACACCCCCGCCCAGTTGTACACAGTGACTTTTTGAGTGATAGGACTATGATCGGGTATGTTTCTTGAATCCTGTGGGTGAATATATAGTTGGATCACCATTTGCAACCTTTGTGGGAGAGGCGGCACTGCTTCCGCTGACAGGGATGGGAAAACATTCCAAAAGCGGAAATTGGGCAAAAAAATCGACCATCCTTCGTGACTCTTCCATGACACTAGAGACCAACTTTGAGAGTAAAAGATGTCTGAATATCATGTTCTGACTGACTGAAATGCAAATTTTGGGTTGGGCTATCACCAAGAGAGCTCCAGGGCCTTAAGATCATCTGGAGGGGGGAAATTGGTCATCGGTGATGGGGAATGTCACACCGCATCATAAGTGTGACACACCCGTCATGCTGCACCTTGATCCCCCGTTTTCCTCAATTTCGAACACATAACTGCTTTTTCCACAAGCTCCTCAACACACTTTATTATGGTCAACACTAAACTACCTTAATACACCCCCATGGCAAAGCACGCAGCCTCCGACGTGCTAAAAAAACGCCAAGAAGAAGAGGAAAAGGCAAGAGCTTACTGGATTGCTCACGCAATTTGGCTGGATGAGCAACAGAAGCCAAAAGACGAGCGCCTGTCTTACCAGGAGGTGGCTGAGGAGGCACACAAGCGATGGCATGCCAAGACAGGCCACTGGCTGAAGCTGAATCACAACACTGTCCGTAATCACGCAACTGGCAAAACACGTCCTCGGGAGGAGACTAAATGGGATTCATCTCATTTGAGCGCCGTCAAAGAAGAAGAGGTTGTCAATTACCTCATCGAGACGGCAGCTCAGGGCTTCGGGCTGTCACATCGTCGTTTGAAGGAGCACGTCATAGAGCTCTGCCGAGCGCATTATGGCACCTCCTTTCCTGGTCTTGGGAAGCACTGGTCCCACCGCTTTGTTGAGCGGCATCATGAACACCTTCACGTATACCGGACTCGGCCACTCCATGATGTCCAAGGGAAAGCTGCGAACCCAGAAAACCATAAGGCCTGGTGTGATCTCGTTGAGAACGTCCAGCTGCATGGAGATGAGGGCAACACAATTGCACCTGAGAACACGTACACTGGATGAGGCAGGTTTTCAGGCTAACGGTGATGAGGGAGAAGAGCGGGTGATTGGCGGAGCGGGCAAGAACGTCCAGTACCAGCAGCAAGCTGGAACGAGGGAGACAACGACTGTCATTGTCAATATCTGTGCGGATGGGACTGCCATACCTCCAGCCGTTTTGTTTTCTGGAAAGGGCTTTGCGGTTCGGTGGAAGCAAGATAACCCTGCAGAAGCAATGTGAGTAATGATAACCTTTTGGATCATATCATGTACTTACTGCGACAAGGCTGGGATACTCGAAGAAGGGCTGGACGGATAACGAGATCGGCATCGAGTACGCAAAGCACTTCGAGCGAATGACTCGTGAGAAGGCGGGTGGCAGGTGGCGAGTCCTCTATGTCGACGGACATGGTTCACATGTCACTCGCAGGTTCTTGATGTTCTGCAAGGCGCATAAGATCCATGTCTTGTGCTATCCTGCCCATACAACTCACATTTACCAAGGTCTGGATGTCGTGATATTCAGCCCGATGAAGCAAAGGTTCGGTGAGAACCGTGACAAACTCTTTCGAGAGACGGGCCAGGAGATCTCAAAAGAGAACTTCCTGAAGGTTTATGGTGACACCCATCTTGCGATACTACAACCGGAGTTAATCAAGAAGGCGTTCTCGAAGACAGGAATCATACCTTTTAACCGTGACGTGATCTCCGCCGATAAGCTCGCTCCCGCGACACCTCGTTTCGGCATTACACCCCAGTCGAGCCACCGGCTGCTGTCCGCATCATGACGGAGCTGATCATTGACACCCTCCAGCCTATCTTCATCACGTCGTCTCCAAACAATGATTCGGATACAGATTCCGAAGGTGAGGATGAGGGAGCCAGTGAGGATGCGGTTGACGAGAGAGGTGATGAGGAATATGAAGTGGGTGAAGAGGAGGAAGAAGTGGTGGCGGATGGAGAGCAGGACAAGGAGGTGGAGGATGGTGCTGATGAGGAGGTAGATGATGTTGAGGAGGGGGGTGGTGAGGCTGGTCATGAAGCGGGTGAGGAGGGAGAAGGGGAGGAACAAGAACCTGTAAATGATGAACCTGCCCACCCACGGCTTGACACCTTTCCCATCCGAGCCGCCCTCGAAGAACTTGCCAACTCTGATTGCGGCTTTCTCTTCTCACAAATGCCTATCCCATCGTCTTCTAATCCACCCGATCTGCCAAATGTTCTCATCTTGCCTATGAAACGTCGCATTACCAAACCGTCAATGTCAAGGCAAGATGTCACATACCTCACAACTAAGACGACATCCACACCCAACGAGGACGCCATGCAGGAGGCTCTCATTGCGAAAGCAGCGGCAGCAGATTACTACAAGGAGCAGGCGATCCGTATGCAATCCATGCTCGTGTTGCAGCGATTATACTGCAACAAACTGCGTCGTCAGCTTCAAGTGAAGGAAGGAAAGGCAGAGAGGAAGAAGAAGGGGCGAGGAGGTATTCTACGAGATGGCTTACCTCGTTTGATGACACATTCCGCCGTGATTTGAGCCGTCAAGGAGCACGAGGATGCGAAGGCGAAGGAGGCGCGCGACAAGGAGGAGAGGGCTGCCCAGCAGCTTGAATACGAGGAGCGGATGGCAGCGTGGCAGGCACATGAGGATGGTCGGGAGGCTAGGAATGTGGCACTGTATCGCCAGTTTCAGGAGGATGCAAACAAGTGGACAGCAGCGCGAGTAGCAGCGAAGGAGGCGGGCCGCAAGCTGAAGGTTTGGGACAAAGCCCATCCAAAGCCTTTGCGTTTGAATTACAAGGAGACCCGGGTAAAACCCCCAACCAAGAAGGCGCGGAAAGATCCTGAGGAGGATCCTGAGGAGGATGTGGGTGGCGACGGTATGATAGACGAAGAATAGAACAAGTGTTTATCGATTGATCGCATCGGACCGAAGATAACTGAGCTGCGTGACACAGCCACCGGCAACGGCGTGACACTGTACAACTGCCCGGTTTTGCCCAAAAAGGGTACCCCGGCACGGATTTACTGACAGCGTGTCCATTTCTCACCCGACGGTGTTCAAATCGCACACCGACCTAGTTTCGACATATAGGCAGCTCATATATACAGAAATGAACAAGAGTTTCATCTATGACGAACAGTAGAGGGCATTTTCATTTTTGCTGTACAAGAAGGCAGTGAATTACTGTACAGGCCCCGCAAAAAGGCCGTGTCATCCAAACACACCTGGGCCAATCCACCCATTCCCGCCCCCTGACAATGGGGGAAACGGTGCACAACGATGAGGAAATATGTTTCCTCATCGGTGGCGCCTTTTCCCCGTCAAAAACCGGGGTGGGAACACCAAAAACAACGAGGAGCAATGCTCGGGCAATGTTTCCTGTGTTGTTTGCTTGTGTTGACAGGCCACGCCCACAGCAATGAGCCCCGGCACACATGGCAAGGCCCTCTCCATAGGTGGACTGTTTAATCACAGTCCTGACATGTGAGTATACCCTGCTTAAATACAGTGTTTGATATAGATTTCTAGCGGACATGGCTGAGGCATGAGGAGGGAAGGCTCAAGGGGGGAGGGCTTGAGGAGGGAGGGAGGCGCAAGGAGGGAGGCGCAAGGAGGGAAGGCTTGAGGATGGAAGGCTTGAGGAGGAAGGACCAGGCAGATGTACACATCTACCAAGCATGTATTTCATTTCAATCAGACTCCTCGTGGCATGGAAAGTTGGCACAGGGTTTTGGTATGTTCCTATTTGATGGTAGGAAATGAAAATCGCTAAACTATGACATTTTCTAAACAAATCGTAGGTGTACAAGACAAATTGTTGCAGGAGACGTGACTCAACTGCTATGGGAGACACGACTCATGCATGTTGTTTGTCATGGGAAGGGAATCGACCAGGTAAGCCACCCTGTCAGCTGTCCATTCGATCGACCAAGGAACGGAAATACTGAAGATGCACCTTTTTCGAGTAGGTGAAACCATAATGAAGTCGTTCTTGCAGAGACAATGAAGACCGAGCATCTGGAGCAGTCGTTCAAGTTAGGTGGTGGGTCGGAAACAATGCTGGAAGATTGACACGTTTGAGCCCCTTGGTGCAGCATGATTGGGATGTCATTTGGTGCGTTCTCATTGTTCTATTATGATTGATAGCTAAACACTTATATACTGCGATCCAGGTCCTAAACCGTCATATGATTCCCCCAACTCGGAATGGCATGAAGACAGTGACCAACTCCTACACCTCCAGTTCACCCGCCAACCCCACCAATCCAACCGCCGCCACCCACCACCCAACCTGCCCAAGCAGCTCCTCAGGCCGACAACTCCGGCGAAGAGTTTGACTTCAGTGGTGTTCCCAGCACCTCAACCAACGATGAAGGGCAGACCGGCGGACTCTCTCGAGCTCGGGCTCGCCCTCGCACAAGTGGCAACACTTTCGCTGGATCATCAACCCTTGCGATGCGCCCAGCCAGTCCTGCTGCAGCAACAACAGTGACATCGGATACGAGGGCACCATCGGCGTCAAGCAGTCGCTCTAGAAACGCGGCCTTGGATATCGCATACTATTTTGTCAAGGCGGCCAAAGCCTCCGGTAAGCAAACTTATTGCAGGTTTTGCAAGTACGTCGTTGGTGGTACATTTATCTGTGCTATGGATTTACTAACAGTACCTGATTTCAGAGAGAAATCTGCCTCGAACCCAAAGCTTAAATTCGAGTTTTCCGCCAATACCTCCAACACCACGCTCAGGAACCACTTGGAGAATGTGCACAAAGAGGAGTACCTTCACCTCTGTGCTGAGAAGGGATGGAACAACCTGCTTCCAAAGTCGCGAGTTCAGGTGGTAGTGGCCCCAGAAGCAGCTCATGGCACTCAAGGCGCTTTCCGTACCCCCTTTACCCAAAAGGCTTTCATCCAGCATCTAATCAATTTCGTTGTTGCAGATGATCAGGTATGTTTAACGTTTCTATCTATTCATCAAACTAATGCCGTGTAGTCATTGAACGTCATTGAATGTCCCGAATTTCGTGCTCTGTTACTTCTCTTGCGGGAGGACCTCAATGACAAACATT